ATCATGTTTGGTAAGGTGGAGGGTCAGAGAGAAAGAGGAAGACCTCAATGAGATGAATTGGCCAAGTGGCAGCATTGATGGACTCAAGCGTGGCAACAGTAGTGAGGTTGTTCCAGGATCGGGCAGTGTTTCATTCTGCTGTGCATAATAAGGTTGCTATGAGTCAGTGCTGACTCAATGGCACCTAACAACAACAAACCTTTCCTCTTGGCTGCCCTGTCCTCCCTCCCCCTGCTCCATCCCTGTGTCTACTCTCCTCGTACTCCCTTCTTCCTCACCCCTTTCTTCTACTTTCTTGCTCTCTCGGTACCTTTCCCCCCACATCAGTTTCCCTTCCTCCCCCTGTCTGCTTTACTCCCTATCAGTCAGAACTGGTACTCACGTTTGCTTGTCCATATGTGCATTCTGCTGCTAGTCACACCCTCCAGCTTCTCTCAGACTGTCCACCGTGGGACTGGACTAAAACTAGGCAGAGATCAGAAGCCTGATCCTCCACCAGCATCCACTTGTCTGAGAAGTAGAGCCTGCCTTGGCCTTGGGCACTCCCAGATACTCCTTACTAAACCAAACCTACTGCCATCCAGTGGATTCCTACACATGGCAACCGTCTAGGACAGAGGAGAACTGCTCCTTTGGAGTTCTGAGACCGTAAATCCTTACAGAACCAGACAGCTTCCTTTCCTCCCACAGAATGGCTAGTTGGTTCGAACCACTGACCTTGTAGTTAACAACCTAACACTTAACCGACTGTGCCACGAAGTCTCATTGGACACTCCTTAGACATTTGAGTTTAAGATGATCCCTGGATCTAAAATGAGTTACCTCCAAGCAGACTCCCAAGTTTAGACTTTGCAAAAGGACCTATCAGATGAATTCCAATCATAACTCTTCCAAGCAGCATGCCCTTGTGGTTCCCCATCCTCATCTGTACCAACATCATTCGTGAGCAGATGGAATGTCTCAGTGGTGCTGACGGGCTACTAGAAGGAGAACGTCAGCTGGCGCCTGTGGCCAGAGCCCTAGAGCATGGCTCTCCACGGAGTCCCTGCAGCCCAGGGGACTGGTCCTCTGCTCCTCAGGTTCTGAGAGGTGCCTGATTTCATCACAGCCCCAGGATGCTCAGCAACACTCTGATTGGTTTTATTCAGCTTTATTAAGAAATAGATATGCATTCCGATGGCTGAAGTATCCCGTTTCAGAAGGAAAATCTTGTGAAAAATGAATTCCAGGTCAAAGGCTGGTTGGTCAGAAGAAGGCATGTTCCTGGGGATTAAAGAAGCTGAGCTGTGGCATCCAGGGATGCTCGGGCAGCTTAAGGACCAGAGGAGTCATTTCCCTTGAAAGCCCAACATTTCCTGTTGCTCCATCCTCCTATATAGCCGGGTTTAGGCAACAGGTCTCTGTGGAAGGGGCTGGTTGCTCCTCAGGGCTGGTGTGATGATGCCACAGTGCACCCTGCTCTTCCTCTGTCTCCTCTAAGGCAGTGCCTGGCTCAGTGCCCACCCCACTGCAGAGGGGTTGCTGAATTGACTGACTGAGTAAGTGTTTGCTCAGGGACATTGGAGATGTGATCACACACATGAGGGTCAGTCATTTCCATGAACAGCCTGGATCATTTCCTTCTGATTCAGTGACTTGGGGGAAAGAGCCCTTCTGCCCTGCCCATGATGCATTTCTCCCCCTCGTCCACCCCCTCACACCCCTCCACAGACAGAAGCTGCAAAAGCATTCCACTGGAAAGCCATTGAGTTAACAAGCCATCTGTGTTCCAATGACTTGGTCTTACAAGACTGGCTACAGCTTCCAAACCAACCAGTTCCTGCGAGATGGACAGTCCTTTCTCCTTCCCTCTGGTGGCCTACACCAGAAACCACTCAGCAACAACCCTGGGAATTGGTTCTCCCAAAAAAGGGAGCCCTGGTGGTACAGTGGTTAAGGTTGGTGGTTCAAACCCACCAGCTGCACCACAGGAGAATGATGTGGCAGTCTGTTTCCATCAGTCACAGTCTTGGAAACCCTGGGAGCAATTCTACTCTAAATTGGTTGGAATCCACTAGAAGGCGATGGGGTTCTTGGATCTCCCAAGAAAAACATGCAGAGCCTGCCACCTCGTGGCCTGCTCTGGTACTACAGCAGCCCTCTTTAACCCTGCCAAGAGTGCTGAGGAGAAGCTGAACTGTTAGGAAATGAATTTCCGGGTGGGAAGAAAATCTAGGTTCTGATTTCCTTCCTGTTGTCTCTAAGTCCTGTGAAGCTGACCTCTGGGTGACAGACCTGGCGGTTCTTGAGGGTGGGAAAGGGCAGCAGGGAAGGCTTTCCCCATAGGGGGGGGACAAGCAATATCTGAGGACTAAGCAAATCAGGCTGGGCAAAACCAGCCTCACCTGTCTCTAGCCCTGACCTACCTCTCTGCCTGAGTGTCCCCATCTCTAAAAGGCGGGTACTGTGATATTTAGGCCTCTTCCAGCTCTGGCGTTGTCTCCAGGCAGGATCATCCCAATGTAAGGAAGAAATCCAGTCACTGAATCCTCACAGTCTGACTTGGAGATATATAAAATATACCGCCAACCCAGGCTAGTGTTGTCTTCTGGACTCACTGATGGGTTCCACTGTCTGCAACCAGAATACTGAGGCAGGGTGGGCACAGCTGGCAGCCTCGTTCAGTGGACAAGGAGCCCCTGTGTGAGCTGTTGGGTCTGAGTCCTCACCCAAGGCAACCGGTGTGCTCAGGGTTCAGTCTTCAGTTGTGTCGTCTCCAGCACCTGTCCTTAGAACGCCAGAGTCGAGCATCGTGGCTGACAGACCAGGCTTTGAAGCCTCACAGACTTGGGTCTAAATCTACTCTGCCACTTACCAGCGGGGTGACTTTCAGAATTCCTTTAACCTCTCTTAGCCTCCGTTTATTCATCTATAAAATGGGGTTAATAACAGGCCCTCTGAAGCTGTTGAGGAACTGAATGACATGAGGTTTCTAGAACATTCTCACAGGGCCTGACGGGTTGTCCTACTTTCACGGCCAACATATGGAGTGTTCAATGAAAATTAATGCGGAAACCATTCAAGACAAAGGATTCTTTGCCTCCAAATAGAATTCCTGAATTTTGTTTCTGGAAGCCCCCTCACTTATCTTTTTGGGGTTTTTTTGGTTTGCTTTTCGCAGTGATGTGAATGCCAGGAAAATCCTGCCCTCACCGCCTTGCCCCACATCATACAGCCGGAAAAGCAGCAGCACCACCTCCCTGGAAGACAGGTCTGTGGCTACCCCCCTCCCCTGGCCCCCAAAATGGGTATGACTCATAGCCTAAGGAAACTCTTGTCCAGTGACCACCCAGAGCAGTTGAGCTGGCCTCTGTCTTGGTCCCCTGGGAATCCCCTGGAATCTCTCAGGCACCCGACTCCTAGAGCAAGGAGAGTTCCTGCCCGGCTCACTGGACCCCTGTGTGGACAGGGAGGCTGTAATGGAGGTACCTGGTGCTCTACCAGGACAAAGGACAACTGGCCCAAAGGTACTTCCCTCCTAGCCCACCAGCTCCACCACTAACTGTCCTGGTGGGGAGGGAGGACTTGGAGTTGGCAGCCTGGCCTCAAGGCCCTTCTAAGCTAAACAGAGTAAATACAGTCCATCCCAGCACCATGCTGAACTCCTGGTGTAGCTGTAGGATAAAGCACTAAATTGCTAACCACCAGGTCAGCGGTTCAAACCTACCAGCTGCTTCTTGGAAACAGGGTCATTATGAGTCAGAACCGACTCCAAGGCACTTAACACCAACTAGCACCATGCTGCTTGGTATGCCCAGGCCTTGGTATGGGCCGTGCCTTCTGACGAGAATCTCTGTCTGTCCTTTCCCACCAGGCAGACCTGAAAGACTGCCCATGGGGGAATGCCACCACTTGCCTCTCCCCAGCCCACCAAGTGGAATGAATGGCCCATTGCAGCTGCCGTCCATCCTCCTTAGTTCTGCTCACTGATTTGCAGCCAGAATGCCTAGAAACTAGAAATCACTGTGCCAATGAAGACCTTTTGTTACATACAGTCCCGACAGCCTTTAAAAGAAGTGGGTTCTGTCACCTGCTGTGTTGAACGATGGGTATGAGGATGGAAGATTAGAGAAGGGCGTAAGATGCCCTGCAAGGAACTTGGCTTTAGTGGGTTGTTGTTATTAAGTGCCGTCGAGTCAGTTCTGACTCATAGCGACTTGGTATAGGGTTTCCAAGGAGTGGCTGGTGGGTTTGAACGGCCAGTCTTGAGGCTCAAACTGAGGCTCAAACGTTCAGCAGCACTAAGTGTTCCACCCAACACTTCTGGTTACAAATCTCATTGGCTAGGACCTGATCGCAGGCCCACACACAGCTGCAAAGGAGACTGGGAAATGTAGTTTTTTGTGGTGTGGCAACTTGCCCAGCTAAACATGATGGTTCTGTTTTTAAGGAGAGAGGGAAGAACAGTCGTCTTTCTCTCAAGACCAAAGGCCTAAACCAGGGTCATAGGTGGGGACACATCGGTGAGACTTCCTAAAAGATGTCACATCTAAACTGAGTGCTGCAGAAGACAGGCCTTAGGCAAAATGGGCTTAGGTTTGGAAAGTTGGTGTTGTAGTAGGCAGAGGAGAGGCTAGTCAGGGAACAGAAGAGACACAAGGGACTGAGAGAAAGCACATTTGGCTGGGTAAAAGGTCTGCAGGGGAGGAGTTCAGGGAGAGGAAACAGCACCAGCAGAGACTCTGAGGCCAGAAACAGCATGGTATATCTGAGTCATGGGAAGCAAGTCAGTATGGTGGGCACACATGAACACTTGGGGACTGGACAAGGTCTAGTATGTGACAAGGCCAAGGGTCAGTTCATACAGGGCCTGGAAAGTCATGGGATGGAGTTGAATTTCATGGCAAAGTGACAAGAAGCCACTAAAGGGTTTTAAGCAAGGGAGTGACGAGGCCTGATTTGCGTTGTAAGAAGATCACCCGGACTGCTGTGCAGAGGGTGAGAAGAGGCACGCTGCCCAGTCCCACTGTGCCATCGAAAGTGGGGAGGCACTCTGAGTCCAGACCTAAGACATCCTAAATGTGCCATGTGGTGCCCTCAGGGTCTCCGAGAGGCCGACGTCATCCATCCCTCTCACTGGGGACAGCCAGACGGACTCGGACATCCTGGCGTTCATCAAGGCTAGACAGAGCATTCTGCAGAAGAAATGTAAGTTATCTCCCTCAGTAGTTCTGACAGGGCCCAGGTCACCCGCTCTGCTCACCACACTTGCCGGCTAGTGAGGGGAAGTGGCACAGTAAGGAAGTAAGCTCCTTGTGTGTTCTCAAAGCCACAGACTTGGCCTTCTGTTTACTTCCCCTGCGTCTGGCCTCCACCTCCTCCTGGAAAGCCCACGAGGGGCAGCATCAGAGATGTTATGACAGGGTCAACAGGGTGGCTGGCCCGATGCTCCTTCCATGCTTAGCAAAGCCCCCTCTCCCTCTTCCAGGTCCTTTGGCTCTCTGACCCCAAAGACAATGTCCTCTGCTTGGCCTTCTCCAGACAGGAAAGGGCTGTGTGATGGCTTGGTGACTTGTCGGATTTCTGACTAGAAGTCTCACCTTTGTGTCTGAGTGTGGTTCTTGCCAGTGAGCTGTGAATATAAACACCACTTGAAGCCTTAGGCCCAACGACATTTTAAATGACAGAGGGAATGTGTGTGGATATGAGACAGCAAGAAGAAGAGGAGGAGACATGCCTTCCCAGCCCATCTGAGGTGGGGTGGGGCAGGTCTTCCCTTCTCCTGTCTGCAGTCCCCACCCAACACTTACCCCAGCCCTGCGGTCAATGTTAGCCTCTTCCCAAGGGTTAATGTGCTAGACTGCAAAGTCAGTTTGAACTGTGAGGTCAGCCACTCCTTAGAAACCCTATACAGGGTCACTGTGAGTAGGAATTGACTCAACAGCACTTAACAACAACAGACAGACAGACTTAGCGTCCCTTTCACAAGACAGAAGACCTCCCTCTCTTCAAAGCAGACTTGGATCATGTGATGGCTGACACCCCCTTCCCCGAGGAGCCTACCTTCAGTTTCACAGCTTTCTGTAAGTGAGATCATTGAGGGTTTACAGAGTGATGGAGCCCCCCCAGCCAAAGGATGGCCTTTATCATATCATCCTCACCAAGACTAAGAGGGCACCCCCACAGGGATGCCAGCCTGTGCCGTTCCCTCACCACAGGACCAGCAACATCAGCACCACCTTCAAGTCTTTTCTTCAGGTCTGCCATCAACTCTCTCTGACACCTGGACCACTAACTTGCCTTCTCTCATCCTCAGTTTTCTCAACTAGAAAAAAAAAAAAAAAAGAGAGAGACAGAAATAAAATTGCATTCAATAACCTCCAAGGCCCCATCTTTTCCCCAGATACTAGTGATATGTATGAGACACTGAGCAGTAGTGACCCATCAGTCCATGAACATGCACTGAATCATGGTCCTGTCTTCTCTGTGCCCGTCACTGTGCCCAGCTCTGGGGCTACAGCAGTAAGCAAGCAGAGTCAAGCCTCAAGAAAACTGCATTCTGGGTAGAGGGAGGAGGCAGATAAAGAACACATCAGCCAATAAACGAGATCATTTGAGATGCTGATAGGTGGTGTAACATAGTTAAAGTACATAATCTTGTAGACAGCAATTAGAAGCCTCCTGGAGACGAGAACTTCAGACTGACAGCTCAGTAGTGAGGGCGGAACAGCCATGTGAAGTCCTGGGAGCAAGTTTTTTCTAAGCAGAAAGTGAAGAGCCCTGTCTTACTTCTCTATGGCTGTTTTAACAGAAATACTGCAAGAGGATACATTTAACAAACAAATTTATTCTCGTACAATTTCTGAGTCTACAAGTCCAAATTAAAGCACTGGTTCTTGGGAAAGGCTTGCTCTCCCTGTCCACTCTGGGGGAAGATCCTTGTCTCCTTTCAATATATGTGGACCTGGCATTCCTTGGAAATCTCCAGGTATCTTGGCATCAATCTTCCCCTAGGTCCAGAAGGTTCTCAGCGCAGACTCCTGAGTCCAAAGGAAAGTGTTCAACTTCTGACTCTTCTTTCTTAGTAGTAGTGAGGTCCCTCTGATTTCTGCTCCCTTGTTCAATCTCCCACACACCCCAAAAGAAACTGACTACAGATAGAACCCAATCCTGTAGGTTGTATTTGCTTCATTACCATCATCGAGGTCCGGATGGACCATGCATAGGATAGTTACATCAGATCATGAAAGGGGGATAATTACATAACACTGAGAAGCATGGCCTAGCCAAGTTGACACATACGTTGGGGGTACACAGCTCAATCCATAACAAATCCTTAATGAGAAGGAGCTTTTCTTGATCACAGGGTAGGAAGGAGGCCCTCGTGACATGAGTACAGGGATCCAGGGAGCAGAGCCAGATCACTTGGGCCTTGTGGGCCAGGGTAAGGAGTTTGGATTTTATTCTAGGTGTAGTGGGAACCCCTGAGGAATGACAATCATCTAGCTGATGATTTAGAAAGTTCATTCTGCTGCCATATGTAGTGCAGTTATAGTGGGCCAAGAGTAGATAGTTCTCATGCTTCTGTGAAGTTCCAGGCAAGGATGAGAGTGGCTGAGACTCGCCAGTGGCTTGGATGTGAGGTGTAAGGAGAGAAGAGGAGGCATAGGTCCTGGACTTTTGATCCAAGCAGCTAAAAATATGGTGGGGCCACTGACATGGCAAAGACCGCCCTTCAGTTGGGGTGTTCCATCCCCCCATATACCCCCAGTTGTCTCACTTCCACACAACTGGTCATGAAGCAGACTGAAGGTCCCTCAGAGCAGAGGTTTCCAGTCATTATATTCTCTCACTGAACTGAGAAAGGCAAGGAGGAAGGGATTCCAAAGGAAAGAGCTGGAGTTGTTGAGAGTTCTGTCTGGATGGCCCAAAAGTAGCTTCAGCTTCCATCTGCCATCTATTGAGTAGGCAACCGAACATATGAGTCCAGAGCCAGGGAAGAAGTCTGGACTAGAAAAACAGCTGTGGGAGTCGCCATGTGTGGGTGGTTTAAAGCCATGGGACGGGTAAGATTGTCTTTAAACAGTGTGAGGTTGTTTTGATTGCTGAGAACAGATGATCCCTAGGACACTCCGACACTTAGAAGTTTAGGAAAGAGACCCAGTCAAAGATACTGATAGAAGCTCAGTGAAGGAAGGAGAAGGGACCAAGGTAAGTGAGTGTGGCCTCATTGGGCTGGAGAATACCCAGCTTCAGGGAGAGAGTGGTTGAATCCAATGCTGCTAAGAGGTTGAGTAAGCAAGGGCCATTTTGCACATCACAGTGATCTTGGAAGAGCCCATTTCAGGATATAGATGGGGGCACCGGGGAGAGCAGGATGGAAGCCCCTCATGGAGTGGTTGAGGAAAGCATGAAAGGGAAGAAAGCAGAGACAGAGAATGAAACAATTCTTCTCTGAGGGAGTTTAGTTGCGAAGAGGATCAGAGAAATGCAGCTGGAGCTCAAGGAAAGTAGTGGGTCAAAGGGGAGTATTTTGTTGGTTTTAAATGGGTGCTGTTGAAACTTGTGTACATACTAAAGGGAGTGCCCGGTAGAAAGAAGGAAATCATTGATGTGGGAGAAAGGACCAGACCTGCAAGAGAAAATTCCTTACGCGAGTGAGAGGCAGTGGTGCCCAGGACACAGTGATTGTCCTTAACCATCGGGTGGCTCCCTGTCCCGTAACACAGTCACAGAAGTAAGTCCACATGCCTGCCCTCAAGAAGCCTGCAGATAAGTTGAATTTGAATGTTGTCTCACTGAGCTTTTGTCCATATCACAGAGATGCTGTAGTCTAGCCTTTTCAGAAGAGAAGAGACATGATCCCAAAGTCTGTGTCAGCGATGGTATCTTCCTGCTAACACTGTCCCCAGACAGTGCAGAGATCTGTCCTGAAGAGTTTGTTATTGTTGTTGTTAGGTGTTGTCAAGTTGGTTCCAACTCATAGCTAGCAACCCTGTGCCATGGCATCTGCACCCTATGCACAACAGAATGAAACACTACCCAGTCCTGTGCCAATCTCACAATTGTTGCTACATTTGAGTCCATTGCTGCAGTCACTGTGTCCATCCAAATCCACTTCACTGACCCTCCACTTTACCATGATGTCCTTTTCCAGGGACTGAGCTTCCTGATAACATGTCTGAAGTCTCACCCTCCTGGCTTCGAAGGAACATTCTGGCTATACTGCTTCCAACACAGATTTGTTTGTTAATCTAGCGGTTCATGGTACTTGTAATATTCTTCTCCAACATTATAATTCAAATGCATTGGTTCTTCTCTGGTCTTCCTTATTCATGGTCCAACCTTCACCTGTATATAAGGCGATTGAAAAGTCCATGAATTGGGTCAGGTGCACCTTAGTCCTCAAACTGATATCTTTGCTCTTTAACACTTTAAAGAGGTCATTTGTAGCAGATTTTCCGGATGCAATACATCGTTTGATTTCCTGACTGTTGCTTCAATGGGTGTTAATTGTGGATCCAAACAAAATGAAGTCTTTAACAATTTCAGTCTTTTCTCCATTTTTTGTTTATGTTAAGTGTTGTTGAATTGGTTCCAACTCATATTGACCCTGTATGGGTTTTCCAAGGAGCTGCTGGTGGGTTTGAACTGCCGACCTTGTTCAAACAGTCCAGTATTGATCCTACAGAGGCATTCCAGGAGTCCTTTCTCCATTTATCATGCTGTTATTTATTGGCTCAGTTGTGAGGATTTTCATTTTCTTTACATTAATGTGCAATCCATATTGAAGGCTGTGGTCTTTGATCTTCATCAGTAAGTATTTTAAATCCTTTTCACTTTCAGCAAGCAAGGTTGTATAACCTGCATATTGCAGGTTGTTAATGGGTCTTCCTCCAATCCTGACGCCACATTCTTCTTCATCCAATTCAGCTTCTCCAATTATTTGTTCCATGTACAGATTGAATAAGCATGGTGAAAGGATAAAGCCCTGGTGCACACCTGTCCTGATTTTAAATCATTCAGTGTCCCCTTGTTCTGTTCTAATGATTACCTCTTGGTCTATGTACAGGTTCCTCATGAGCACAAAGAAGTGTTCTGGAATACCTATTCTTCATAATGTTACCCATGGTTTGTCATGATCCACACAGTTGAAAGTGTTTGCGTAGTCAATAAAGCACAAGTAAACATCTGTCTGGTACTCTCTACTTTCAGCCAAGATCAATCTAATGTCAGCAATGATATCCAGAGTTCCTTGGCCTCTTCTGAATCCAGCTGAAGGGTTGTTGTTGCTGTTGTTATTGTTAGGTGCCATTGAGTCGGTACCAACTCATAGCAACCTTATGCACAGCAGAAGGAAACACTGCCCGATCCTGTGCCAACCTCACTACTGTTGCCATGCTTGAGTCCATCAATGCTGCCACTTGGCCAATCCATCTCACTGGGGGTCTTCCTTTTTTTCTCTGACCCTCCACCTTACCAAACATGATATCCTTCTCCAGTGA